CTCTTCCCTCCAAGACCATGAGCTGCGCCTGTCCTGCCCCTTCCCCCCCCAGTCGCCCACCTCTTCCCTCCATGACCCTGAGCTGCGCCTGTCTCCTTGGTGCTAGGCTTGTTTTCCTTCCCTGCCTGTGCTCCATAGGTGGCTTGCCCATGAGCCGCGCCTGCCCCCCATCGGACTAGGTCGACTTGCTTCCCCTTCTTGCCGTCCATAGCATGTGTTGCACCACCAGCAGTTGCTTGATTGCTGCTGTCTTGATGCCTTCCCATTCCGTGTCTTCCACCCTTAGCACCCTGAAATTCTCATGCCATTCCCTTTCCATGATCGATCCTTTCACTCCTGCTATGAATGTTGCTTGTTCAACTTCATGGTCAGGTAGCAAAGCTGTGATTTCTGCTCGTAGGGGGGCATATTTCTCTTCCTTTTCCTGAAATTTCTTCTTCAGGCATTCCAGGCTTGTTTGTTCGACTCCGTCATACTCCGATGTCCTTGCAAATTCGATGAGGACAATGCGTTTGATGCTTGCAAAGTAGCAGCAACCGTCAGGTATCCAGTGCCCTTCTCGGCGCATTGAAGTCCCCATCGCTTCCATCACGATGCGTATTGGGGTGTCCCACCATGAATTGACCCGTACCCTTTGTTTCCTCCAACTCTGCTGCAGTCTTACCTTGATCTTCTTCATGACTTCATTGTGTAGCTGAACATGACCCCAGGTTTCTTCTCGGTCTGGACAGTGAGGACAACATGGTGAGTTAGTCTTCCCCCATTGAAAGAGCTTCTTCCTCGTCGGTGCTGAGAAGGTGATCGCTTGGATAGCTGTTCGCGTGACTGACCCTTCGCATTGTTTGAACCCTCTCCCTAGTAAATCTCTTCCCACATGCATTTCGAGCATGAATTTCTCTGTCAAGGTGAGGTCTCCCGCTCGAATCCTTGCCACCATTGTCTGTTGTCTGATAATGTAGTCCCATTTCTTCAAGCGATCGAATCCTGATGTAGGATTTTCTTCTCCTGCAATGATGAATTCCATTGGACTATCGTAGATTGCTTTCTCCCATCCCGAGGCAAATGTTTGTTTTGCTTGCTTGGCCATTTCCTTTGCCTCTTGAATGTTTCTATGAGATTCTTTTGCTAGTTGGAGTCGGATCCTGATTCCCCTCCCTTCGAGTTTCCTCATGCAAGTGAGTAACCGATCATGTAAGTCCTCCAGCAGTTCGTCTTCGTATCGCATGGTATCCATTCGCAACGTATTTGTCATAAAGCGGTGGAAACGTGTGGACTGGTACATTATTGTGACTTGATTTCCCCTTTTGATCTGTATTCCTTCCTCAAGGACATGTTGCAGAAGTAAGCCGATTGCGATTGTGTTCGCTCGGATGATGCTGCACTTCCCATTGATTTTCATCCCTCCTCCTGACGTCATCTCTTTTTGTTGGAGAACATATCCTACTCGCATGGATCTGTTTTTTCTGCCCTGCATGATGTCTCCTTCAATAGCTGCTGTGAAATGCCTTCCGCCTTGATGATGATGCCTTCCGCCTTGATGATCGCTGCACGGCTGGATCTGATCCCTTCGTCTGTTACACAGCTCCTCATACGTTGGGAGGATGTTGTCCTGAAGCTGGACTCGTAAGTATGTTGGGAGTGTGTGCCTAACTAGTATCCATAACTCCTCTGCAGTCTTCATCAAACACCTATTCCCTGATTGCCAGAAGTTTGCTGCATAAGCTATTTGAGCGCCTTTCGGGACCCGGCTGATAATTTCAAAACCTTCTGGTATCTCATCAATGTTATTCTTCCATCCTATCAGAATGACATGTATTGTATCCAGGATTTGTTCACGAAATCTCTTTTGTTTGTCCATCCAAATCACCACTCTGTGCAGTTCCCTTGCTCTCTTCTTGTCCAGAGCCTGGGGATGTGTGTGTAGGGTAGGCCAGTTACGAAATGTACTGATGTCGCATGCTGTAATCTCTGCTAGGTGTTGTAAAAACTCGTATGCCAATGGTTGTGTTGTTTCTTGGCGAACCTCTGATACTACCTCCTCGAGTTGTTGCCACCATGCTATAGCTTCTGTTTCGCCGTCGTCCAATGCATTAACTATTTCCAGCAGCAGATGGATGCTTTGATTGCAGTCTCTTCGGTTATTACCGTCCTCTTCCCTTGTTGCAGATGTGAAGGGAGCCGAGTCCAGTGACGCTTCCAACCATTCTATTGGTGGATCCATGGTCTTGCTTTCTTCAATTTGAGATCGCTCAAAGATGGCTATGTTCCCTTGAACTTTGAAAGGTATATTGCTTGTAGTGTAACAGAATCTTTCTTGCGGATTCCCTCCTTCATCATAACAGGTGGGGTCATGTTGGAGCCACCGCCTCAAAATTACCCGGGTACAAGCCTTCGTATTCGTTTCCTCTCTCCCTTGGTCCGGTCTGGCTAGTTTCTTGTGTGGCTGAAGTTCATGTGGGCTAGCCTCCCTTTTTCCTTTCCTTCTCTTGTTTAGAGGCTTCCCCTCCTCCCTGGCTGGCCTTCTTCTCTTCCCTGTTCCTGCCTGCTCAAGTCCGAGTTTTGCCCAGATGACATTCGCTTGCAGATATTGTGCAAGGATTTCTTCTACTTGTTCCCTTTGCTTTGGGAATGGCCAGAGTCGGATGGGCAGGTGCAGGGAGATGCCTTCGGTATCTGGGACGGGTAAGACACTTGTCATGGAGTGGAAGCCTACTTGGGGCAGTAGTCTCCATGCCTTTGCAAAACTCTCCCAGCCTTGCCGAGCAGGAGATGTAGGTAGGGAGTTTTCTCCGGACAGCAGGGAGTTTTCTTCTGAGAGCATCTTGTCCTCCAGGTCATGTAAGATGGCTATTGTCCCCGGTTTCATCTTGCTTTCAATCATTTCCCAACTGATGGTGGTCTGCATTTTTTCCGCTATCCAGATTGCGAGTCTCTCCGGTCCTCTTATCTCTTCGTTCTCTTTGAGTCTGCCCGATCTGATTTCTCGTTGTAGCTGGTTTATTGTTTGACACCCCCATTGGTTGCACCATGATGTTAGTTTGTGGATCAGACTGCTTTTGATATCATCATCCACCCTGCATTTCTTATTCGTTTCTTTCTCTAGATACCGAATCGCCGCCCTTCCCAAGATGGGTGCTGGATGGGGGAGTTGGAGGCCTCCTTTGTCCCAAGGTAGGTGAAAGATAGCGTTGCTTGTACTCTTGCTCAATCCCATAGCTCTTTTGAATGCTCTGGTCCAGAGGGTATCTAAGGTTTGTAAGTCTGACCAAGACCAGCTCACCAGTACCGCCGAGTATCTAAATATATTGACGATGCCTACCTTCACCAGGTAATATTTTTGGGCTGCCGAGTAAGCAGATGATTCAATCAGCTTTGTCAGTTCTTTTGTCTTCTCCAAGATGTGTTCTTTCTCCCCCCACGTGAAGGGGCAGGTGTGCGCCTTGTTGCCTCTTCCTCCTGGTCTCCACAAGCTGATCCGGATCCCTAGATATTTGAACCATTTCGTCGGTGGTAGGTTCACAAACTCCTTGTCGAAGAACTTGATGGTCTGTGTTCCTGGGATCTCCCTTCTTAGCCGATAATCAAAGCTGGTGATTTCAGATTTCTTCGTGTTCAGTTCTAATCCACTCCATCGACAGAATCGCTCTACCACTTGGACAAGCGTTTTCATCTCTCTCACTGAATGTGCTATCAGGACAAGGTCGTCTGCAAATGACAGATTATTAGGGTGTTGAGTTGCAATCTCGTCTTGTTGTTGATCGAGCTGTTTGGACAAGATGCTTAGCAGAAGATTTGTTTTTGGCGGACTTGCGGGGCTGCCTTGGGGTAATCCTCTGAGAAGTGGGATGGCTGTTGTTTCGAACCTCTCTGTCTGAATTTGCAGCGCTATCCCTTGGCTACAACTGATTGCGACGTCTACATCACGCTGGTGAAAGCCGTATACTTCCATGATTTTTGCAATGGATTCGACTGCCACATTGTTAAAGAAGTTTGCAAAGTCGAGGTACAAAGTGAGCCTCCTCGATGATGTTGAGTAGCCGATGACCCTGCCTGATCGTTCCTCCCTCTGGTCTGAAACCTTCCTGGTTGTTAGTGAGTAGCTTATGTTTTTCAGCAGCTTTTGCCAGTCTGTGCGCTATGACTGCCTGGAAGATCCTCGTTATCGAGGAGAGGACGCATATAGGTCTTTGATTCTCCAAGACGTGACATATCTCATTTTTTGGGAGGAGCCTAACTCTCGCGAGCATCTTTAGTGTTTGCTTGTCTCCGATCAAGGCTCGGCTGATTGTCTTGCCTATTTCCTCCTTTGCACTGTCAGGCAGAGCTTTCAGAATCTCGTTTGAAATCAAATCCATGCCTGCTGCTTTCCGGTTGGCCAGTTTTTGAATCCATACTTGGATCTCGCCTGGCTCCAGCGGGTAAGCTATCTCTACATCCCTGGTCGGGTGTTGATTGATTTGCTCTGGGGGTTCGAAGTCCGGTGGTTTGACGGAAGTCAGTGATTGACAGCTTTTGCAGAAGAAGAGGATTGATGCTTCTTCGTTTTTCTGGCTTTTGTCATATAACGGGATCAGTCGTCCTTTTGTTTGACATTCAGCTCTTGCACAGGTTCCGTTCATGGTACATCCGTTGACTGCAAAGAAGGTTGCCGTGTGGGTTTCATCTTCTAGATCTCTTGCCAATCTCATGGGGAGGAATTGCTCGATGTTTTTGTATCCTTCCAGGCGCCACCCTCCTGGCTGTGTGATCAGTCCTCGGATGATGGGTACGATTGCGTGTGCAGGCGCCAGAGTTATGAACAGCTTTTGTGTCAGTGTTGCCTGGTTCCTCGCCCCGAGAACCTCGACGTGCAGCATGGTTTGATGTCTTGCATTCCAAAAGGTTTTGCTTGATTCTTTGGAGTTGCTCTGGAGGAATGTCTCGATTAACGGGTTCAGTTCTTGAAGATATGCTGTCTCCGGCTGTTGCAGCGCTGGCTGGAGATCTCTCCATGACGTAAGTTCGATTGTGTTTGGGTGGCACTTCTCTGGCAGTTGACTCAGCATTGGGGCTTTGGGCTTAAAGTCTGACTTCTTGCCCATTGCATTTTGAGACTCTTTACTCCCTATCGTGCCCAAGCGTCTTCTTCGTTCTTCGCATATTTTCAGGAATATCTCTTGGTCTTGTGCTGCGCAGATCTCCTTGAATTTGGTCATATTCTCTCTTATTTCTGCATGTAAGCTCGACTCCTTGTGTGCGCGATCAATAAAGTCTGGAATTTCTGAAGCGTTTCTTAAGTCCTTGTGAAGTTGCTTGATTTTGCGCTTCAGATCCATTTGAGTTTTGGATGCATGTCTTTTCCCGCTGGAGCCTCGTAGCGGAATTTCCTTGATGGGGAGGGCTGTTGTTATCAATTCGAGAATGTCGCAATCTTGATGTAGAGCTTGTGCCGCTTTTATCTTCTCATCAAGTGCTATTGCCCATTCCACGCCTAGTCTTCCCGATAGCTTGTCCATCTCGACCACCCTTTTCTTTCGTCGAGGGGTTGCTTCTCGATCCCTCCTTTGCGGGAGGATTTCAATCTTTGGGATGGCTTGCTTACCCTCAGCATCGAGAGAGCTCACATTCACTACAAGTGCTCTGTGGTCGACTGCGGCTCCTATGATGCAATCCTCTGCGGTCTGCGATATTAAGCTTACTGTGCGAGATGGATGGTGTAATGCAAAGACATGATCCAGTTTTGCTTGGTGATGACCTTGCTTGTACCATGTTGAGAAGGTGAAGTGCGTGCTGCTTCTGCTCATCTTCTCGCAAGTGACCATCTGTGATCGTCCAAGTTCGTTTAAGCCTTGTTCCATTCTCTCATCTGCACGGTGCACACTCGATTTGCTCCCGTATCCGACTCTCATGGGGATCTCTGGATGTTGTCGAGATGCATTGAAGTCGCCTCCTATGATGGTGAGCTTGACACTTGGCTCCGTCTTGAGCATCTGGCTCAGCGTTGCCCACATCTCGTCTTGATCCTCCCCTTGCGCTGCAGTAGGAAAGTGGATGTTACAGATCCCTATCGGTTCTTTTTTTTCGATCTGTAAAAGTTGTATTCTTTTTTGGAGATTCTGCTCTTCCAACATGTCAGCGCGGCGGCAGAGCAGGGGGGAGGGACGAGGGAGAAGGTCCGCATGTACGAGCGTCACAAGGCGAAGATCGCTCTTACCCTTTCTCCCCTCCCCTGCACCTTTCGTCATGAACACTCGGTAGCATCCCCATTCTTTCTTGATCATCATTCGGAGATCTGCCTCCTTTCGTTTTCCCCCGACCAAAACTTCTTGAAGTAGCACGACTGTTGGTTGATATGTTTCAATCAGGTATCCTAGGATGTGTTTCAGCACAAATTGACTGCATCCATTGACATTGTGAGAAATGATGTTGCCAGGGGCGTTGTCCTTCCTGTGCGTTTCCACCCATGCTGATTGCACTGACCTGTCGGTGGTAGTCGTGGGTGGTTTGCTGCCTGCTGGTAGGATTTGCTCCTCCGCCCCCGTTGCCCATTGAAGGTGAGACGAGTTCCCATCTTGCATCTTTGTTGGGCCTGGTAGCTCCTCCTCTCCCCTTGTCTCCTTGTCGTTCTTCGAGATTGGCGCTGTGTGCATTGCTTGTGGCGGAGGAGGTGGCTGGAGTGGAGAGACGGGGCATGAAGCAGGAGGTGGGGGAGAGGAGGACGTCAGGATGTCTACCTGTGCTGACCTGTCTGTAGTTGCAGGACCGTCGCGGCTATGAGCTTCGTTGATCCTTGTCCTCCTTGCTCCTGCATTACGTTCGCTTGTTGATTTTGCTTTAGATTTTTCGGAAGGGGTCCCATCTTAGGATCCATTGAAGTATGGTGGGGTGGTAGTATTAGAGTTTTATCTGCGATCAGCTGGTACCGAATATAATGTTTTTCATTTCAAATTCAGTTTCAAATCACTCGCGAAATTTTGTTGCCTGCCCGCCATGCCTGCCCGTCCCCATGAGAAGGGTGTTGAAACGCGTCAGCCACGCTCTGCGGCAGTATGTGGGATTCAAACTCGTCGGGCAACCGAAGAAAGAGAATCTTCGCTAGATACAGTCAACGAGGAACTTTATTCTGGAGTCCCTGACCATGTGAAGGAACCATTTATGCATCCCAACATTCTTCTCTGCGATTCCGTCAATCCAGTTTGGAAGGATGACAACCTCGGCACAGCGTTACCGCTGGTCCCTGGTTGTGGTGTAACATACTCAGATGTTGACGATGGCTCAAAACGTTGTGGAGTAATCAAGCGTATCATTTCGACATGTCAATTTGAAGTTTACATGTTGTACGATAAGCAATTGCTGAAAAGGGTGGATCAAAACTTGAAATCGAATGGAGTGCCACACGGTGAAGTGGCAAGGCTGAGCAGAATTTTGAAGGATGATGAATGCCTGCAATCAATTTACTGTGAAATAATCAGTTTCGAGGACATAAATGATGTCTTCGACTTGTCATATCCTGTGTTTCAATCTAGTGATGGACAACATGTGAAGGTGATAGGATATATTCATTTTTCCGAGCAAAGCTTAGGCAAAAAAAGTTATTGCGAATGCGCATTCTTCTCGATTCCAGACCCTGCAAAATTCATTGAAGAGATGGTGCTTTTTCAAACCAAACGCTTACCATCTCACTTTTTTTTCACAGTCCGAAGAGATATCGAAACATTCAAAGATTGTTTCCACAAGTGGTTGGTCGCGCGGGGATCTGTGTTTGAGAAGAGAGGTATTAAGGAGTTGGAGTTTTCCTGCCCCGATGTCCAAATCAGCAGCATTCTATCATTGATCCCAACAGAAGTTCGACAGAAAATCTCTGTGAAACGTCAGCTCAAGTTCTACAAATGGTTCCTTGGTGAGGAGGTGGTGGAGCATCCATTGTTTGCTCGTGTTTTCGATGTTCCACTTGTCAGGAATCCCAGACCTTTGCCGAATTTGTCCAGAGTATATGTGCAATTGCCGATGGCGCTGTAATCTCCTTCAAATCTATCGTTGGTATTGATGGACTGGGAGGAATTCAGTGGCATGCTGATCCCAACAAACGAAAACGTGTGAAACGGAATTAGGAATATAATAAATCAGAATTTCCTGCTGAGACCTGCTGAGACATCAGAACATCGACCAACCCTCTCCATACACTAATACCTGACAATATATCAGAATTCGGCGAAAAGTATCGACACAATTCTTCCATGTCATGAGCATCAAAGGGGCGAACTGGAATGTTGAAGCCGCCATCACCACGTTTCGCACGCTTGCCGTACAAAAACCCGGCCCGCTTCAGTTCTCGAGTGAATCCTGAACTCATGGAGGCGTTCTCCATGGGCATAACTTCACACAAGAGATGAAATAATTGTATAAAACTTCAATGTTAGACATCTGTGTTCATCAACATGAACATAGATTGTGGCTTCTTCTCGAAATACCGAGGAGAATTTATAGGGAGAGGTAAGGAGACCTCCTACCCACCCCATCTCTTTTCGAGGACCCACCTTCAGATGAAGCCTTCGAGCTTCACTACCCCACCAATCAGTGTTAATTCTTCTTATAAGTATGGGGTGGGTGGTTGTTTGAATCGAAAAATGACCCCTACCGATAGATGAAAAAAACAGGGACACGGTGTGGGGGGTGGTCTGGCGGGATGGAAACTACCCACCCCGATGACTGGGGACATCGAAGATTCAAATCACCCTACCCACATTTTAGATCATATTTCAGTGAACATAAGGGGTAGTCACTGACCACCTACCCAGTGGTTGTGTTCAGAATTCAAAAATTCAAATCTGTGTTTCTGCTAGGACCCTACCCCACCAGTGATCTGAAGTTTTGTGGAGTATGCATGGGTTCTTCAGTGTGATCAGGCCACCACCCGTCCATTCAAGTCATTTCGTAAGGAATGGACGGGTAATGGTGCATATTCAACACGCGGACTCGAAATGCTCTAAAACTATTCTACAAGCCGTCCACGCCAGTACAAACTCCATCCGAGAATAACAGCAAATTCAGGGCTCCAACCCATTTGCGTACCCCCCCGACGAGTGAGGGGAAGGAGGTAAACCACTTGCCACCCACCGTTGAATCGTGGGAATTCATGGGGTGGTGACTAGAACTGATGAAGGAGTCAACCACCCGTCGATAACTCTGAAGCATACCCTGGTACTAAAACTACTTAGACCGCCGTCCATAATTTGTACCAGAAGCCCTCCAGGGGATATTAACTAAAACTATAAGCGAACGTAATGGGCGCCCGTTCAGCCGCTGCGGCCGGCGCGCCGTGATCGGCCTACCGTACGGTATGGAACGGCCTGCCAGGATACCGTAGCCCGGCGCCGGCCTGCAGTGCCGCGGGTGGCACCGGGGCCCGGACTCACTGGGCCATGTGGCAGCCGGCCCTCCGGTGCGGCGTGCGGCCTGAGACGGACTCGGGACTTGGGACTCCCGGCGGAGTACCGCCGTAGTACGGTACCGTCAGCGGCGGCCCGGGCCGCGGCGGCTGCACTCCGGGGCAGGCAGTGACTCGGACGCGGCGGCCCGCAAGCCGCCGCGCGGCCGCCGAACGCCCCGGCGGCGGCGGGCCCGGGCAGCTCACCGTAGTCAGTCAGTAAGTTTCAAAGATTCAATGATTGATCGGATCCCCGGTCGGGCCGCGAGCGGCGATGGACTCGGCCGATACCCGCCGCCGGGGCCGCTAGTTTGTACAGCCAAGTTCCCGAGTCGGACTGTCACGCCCCTCGGAACTTCGGAAATTAACTTGAATTCGAATTTCATCAGCGGGAGCATGGAATGAGTTTTGAACTCCTCCCTACCGTACTACAGGCTACTCCTGAGTCCCGGTCCCGCCAAGCGAAGTTGCCTGTGCCAGCCTCCTCCCCTGCGGCTCAGGCTTCCGATCGGACTTGCCGGAGTTGCCGGACTCAGGCTGAGGCTCACGCTCACTCGCGGCTAGTACGGCGGTGACTCGCGACTGGAACTTTGGCCTGCCGGGTAGTTCCCCATTGGCAGCGCGCACGGCCGCCGCCGGTCCGAGCCTCAGTAACTCAGTGAGCCCAGGCTGCTGCCGCGCCGGGCGGCCCGATCCGAAGTTCATCCCAACCGTTCCAGGCTGGGCCGTGGCAGACGGAGCCTGACCGTCTGAGCCGACTCATGCCGCCTGGGGCCGTCGGATCCGGCGGATGTGTGAGAGTCACCGTGTCACACTGCTGGGCCGCGAGCCCAGGCTGCAGCGAGCCTGCCCGGCGATGGCGACGGCGTACATGATTTGCCCGGTTCACGTGCTTGCGGCGGGGCCCGGGCGTCTTGCAAACACTACAGTCACAGTGTTCTTGTGGTTTGACTCGATGCTGTCGCTGTAAGTAACATGCGCGTCAACGGCAGAAACCGGCGAGCGCAGCAAGTGGCTGAATTCCTCACATTACTGAGAGGCGAGACTTGAGGAGCTCGAGCTTTGAGTTGACGATCTCAGGGCTCGGCCAAACCTTGGAGTAGGCGTACAGGACATACCTGATCAATGGGACAGAAAGATCAAGAGCGCGCAGTGAAGGGAAGGGACGGTATCGGCTGGTGGAGGTGATGGAAGGTGCGCGGAAAGTGATGGGAAGAGGAGCAGGAGGAGCAGGAGCAGCGGCAGTAGAGGCAGCAGAAGGCTACCGGCAATTAGGCACGATGTTGTTGAAGTACCAAAGAAATCATCCATACTCAACTCACTGAGACTGTCAACAAGCAATCAAGGACAGAAGCCTCAGCCAAGAACCCAGTCACCTCGAGGTCGCTATCAGGACGTCTGCCCCCCGAAACCCCCTGTGTAACCATGTGTTGAGGTGCTTGGTGTCCACCAGGTTGAAGGTGAAGTTCGACGAGGACTCGCACTGTGAGCAGCTGCTCCTACACCTCTCGTGCATGAACTCCCTTGGTTATCCCAAGTCATTCCCACTGCCGTGCGCATGCCAAACTTCGACTCACGGATTTTTCATGCACTCGCCTGCTGCCGCCCATACACGGCATGCTTCATCGTCGTCATAGCACAAGTGGGAAGTGAAAGACGACTTGGATGTCTGCTCCTCGAAGTCCTCTGCCACAACATTCCGGAGAACAGTAGCATTGAGAGTGCTTTCGAAGTAAAACCCCTGAACATGATCTCAGGTCACGCTCAACACAAGTCATTGACCTGGAGCTTGTTCATGAAGCGCATGTCAAAAATCGTCCAGTGCCTGAAACCGTACGCGAGGGCAAAGAGTCTCGCCATGTTCCCGTATCCTCCGCCAATCTCCACCACCTAGGAAGCAGCAGGGCAATTGGATCTCAAACAACCTACTCCCTCTTCTCTCATCTTCCCTCTTCCCTCCTCTCGCACCTTCAGCTTGCTCAGTTCGGCTCTGTCTGCAAGCAGGGTCTTGATCAGCAAGCTGAGCTGCATGACATGTCGGCAGGTGTTGGTGGTCGGAAGCTTCCCATTGGCATGATTCGGCAGGGCCCCAGACCTGTAGCCCAGGAGCGCGTCCCCCACAGCAAACAGCTCGCTGCTGACTTGGCTGCTCACGTTCCCCGCGATGTGCGCAGCCTGCCAGGGAGATCAGCATGAGCATCGAGTTCAGCAGGAGCATCTGTCAGCGCTAGAGGGCAAGCGGCTTCACCTCCGGATCGCCCCACGTCCAGTAAGGACACGTGAAGTGGAAAATGGGCTCCTCGGAGAAGAGTGAGAGGTCAGCCTCGTCGACGAAGGCGTCTCCCAGCATCTCGTGGTACCGCCACCAGTCCCCGATATCATGGAACGTGTCGCTTGAGAAGGCAGCATCTGCTAGCTCTGGGAAGGACGAGAAGCTCTCTCTCGTCCTCAGCAGTCTCCGGAACGCGTCGTCAAACGACATGGACGCGATCCTCCCACGGACAGAATCCTGGTATTCGGAGAATCTCTGGCCGACCAGGGATGCAACGGCCTCGCATCCCTCCTCGCTCAGCTTCCTTTCCTCGCATAGCTGTGTGACCGCCATCCCGATGTCGTCCATAGGTCCGAGCATGAGACCAACCTGGAGCTTTCCCTGCTCCCTTTCCCTTGCTCCGTCCACGAAGATCCCGTCCCCGCTCAACACAACATCGACCAGTAGCTTGTGAGTCTGGTGTTGCTGCTTCGCCCCAACAATCTGAAAACATCCGTCGTCTCGGCCGCCGTACAAGCCTAGCAGCACCATGGCTGCCAGCGTCGCCCCCCTCGACCCCCGTCTCCTCGCCCCTGCCATGTCGTAGCTATCCTGGCAGAGCTCGCCTCGGATACCTTTCTCTCTGGGAAAACCAAGGCCCGCCTCAGGGTAATGAGGTCCACACTGGGTCCGCCTCACGGAGGAATCACGGAATCTGCCCCGGCACACCGGCAGGCGCGCTCGGAGACTCCGGTCACCCGGAAGCTGAAATTATGAACCTATTTGAAATTATAAATTCAACAATTGAAATTTGATACAGAATCTTGAAACCCTCGTGTTACGGCGAGATTCAATCTCGCTAAACCCTGCATTCGTCTACTTTACGGACCCCTACCCCCATCCCTCCACTTCTGCACACCCCCTCCAAATCTTTTATGAGGTGTTCCGCCCCCGGGGGTCCCCTGCAGGAGATAGCGGGAGATACGCCTGCAGGTCTATCGGAACGCTGCGGTTTTATAGCCCTTTCGATTCTGTTACGACAAAGTCAGCCTCGTTTTTGTGGAGGGCGGCGTCATATAAATTACTGTCTAAAACACTTGTAAAGGGCTGCGTAAAAGTTTTTGAAACCCTGTTTTCGAGTTTTCCCCAACAAATCTGTGAATATTTCAATGCTTCATAACAATTATTTCAATATTTATCCAAAATATTGGATGGTGTCACAATCTGGCGGTGAGTCTTAAACCACGCATAAATAGATCGTAAATAACTTTTAGGATCGTATCCCCGGGCCACATGCCACACTACCCCACCCTACTCTGAAAATCCAATGCATTCACCCCACCCTGCAAATTGATCTAGATGATAGCTTGAAGTACGGGTACACATTATGAATCACCCCCTGTACAGTGGTGCATGCTTTACAACCCTTCGCTACAATCGATCAGTCTCCTGAAATGTTAGTCAAACAGCCGAATCTCAATGAGGATTTTCAAAGGAGAGACGATATATGAAATCTATATGTATCCTACTCATAGTTTATTCACCCTGGTGCCTGAAGGATTCACGAAAATTTCAACCAGCTCGAAAATTTTCAGACGTTGCCTGGTTTTTACATCATTACGTGCTCCCGGATATCGAAAAGAAATGTTTTCCCAGAAGGCTCGCAACCCTGCAAAACAGTTGGCTAGCCATTCGGTTGGATAAGGAGAGTATAAAGGGCTGTCGGGATCTATCCTAATTTTACTTATGATCTTTATTGAAGAAATTGAAAGCCTTACCCACCATGATTGCAGTACCTATTCTCCACTCGCAATCTGCCTCAGGCCTGAATTGTTTACAACTCTTTGCAAGACCTCCACCCCCGCAAAAGATTGACCACCAATCTGAAGGGTTAGCACCCACCGGTCTCAACAATACTCTTCCTTTACCACCAGAAAGTTTAGGCCACCCCCCCATTTCTAGTCAAAAGTACCCACCTTTCATAGAAAGGACCATTTCTGGAAATATTACCCCTACCCCCACCCCCAGTAGGAAACCTTGAACCCCTACCCTTAAACAACCACGCCCCCCATTTCCAATCTCCTCACTTATCTCGAGTGTTCCTCCCGCCCTGCCCACAACCGCTTCATCCCCAGCTCCTGCTGCTCCGTCTGCTCGATCGCTCTCTACTCCTCTTCGTATCCTCTCCTTTATACACAGGCTCTGAGCTAGGCCTTGTCCTTTCTTGGTATCTTGTTCACCCTTCCCGTTTCTCGACGCTACCACACCATTGCCAATCAATATCTGCCACAAGCAGGGCCCACCTGGCCCATCGGTACTGTGTGATTTCTGTATTGCCTACAGTTTTCGCGTCTTTCCTGTTCTTGTTTGACGTTGTCCAAAACTTTCTTGGCACGAAATTTTCCTCTATCCCACTTCTGCTTCCTGTCGGCTTTCCACAAGTCTGTTTTTCCATTGATTCCCATGGAGGAGAAGAAATCGTTATCGGAGGATCACTCAGGATCGAAGAGGCGATACTCTGACCCTGAAACTGAAACGTATTCATTTTGGATGCCTGGAATGGCTGTGAAGGACGAAATGCCCACGAAGCAGCGAAGGGTGATCGAGAAGGCCAATTGCATCTTTAACGAGCTACGAGTGCTCGTGCTGCAGGACATGGAGCGGAAGATACAGAGGGATTTACAAGAAAGAAAAACTTCCAAGCAGATCGCAGATAATTATCCACTCCTACCAAGGGAACCAAGCTCAAGTTCTTTGACGCCATCTGAAACTGCATCGGATATTCCAGAGTCCCCAGAATTGAGTCAGGAATCAACAACCAAAGTTGGAAAAACAACACCTTGCTTGCAACCGATGCCGAGGGACGCCTTTGATGTTGCGCAGAATAGATCAGATGAAACGCACATCGATCACAATGAAATCCGTGTAATCAAGTTTGGATCCAATCAGGCTCGGAAATGCTTATCTGGCTCGGACATCCCTCTTTGCCCCATGATATAGTTCTTGATCTCTCTTGAAGGTTCAAGGTACCACACAGCAGTCTAGTCTCAATGTAGTCTAGTGTTAATGTAACAGTAAAAGTGTCAAACATCTGCAGAGTGACTCTCAGAGTCACCGCCGCGCGCCGTCACGGCGTACGACTCGATTGAAGCCCCGCGGTCGGGTTTGGCGCCAGCGATCGGATGCCTCTGAGTAAAGTTCAGCCTGAGGCTTTACGCTGTACGCCGATCATCGGATCGCTCTGCTAACTTTGAGTAAAAGCTTGTCGGACCGTCACGCACCCACCGGACCGTCGCCGTCCGATGGGCGCGAACTTCGGAACTTTCAAGTTTTCGCATCGGACCGTCGGACTGCGGCACTGGCGCAGTGCGCACTCACTGTCAGCCGGTGACTCCGACTCAGAGGACTGAGGCCCGGCGGCCGGGCAGACCGTCTGAGTCGGACCGACGGCGAGGCTGCCGGCCGGCCCGGCCCGGGCCGCCCCGGGGCCCTACCGGGCCGTACTCACTAGTCACTGAGTAGGCTGCACTGCCGGGCCCCCGGCCCTGGCCCCCCGGGCCGACGCCCCGTCTGATCCGAGCCCGGTGGCAGCTGCGGCGGCCGGCGGCGCGGGCCCGGTCGGCGGGGCGCCGCGCGCCCGGTCACTGAATCCTTTACCGGCGGTCACTCAGCAAAGTACGGTTTCAAACCGTTTTCAATCTTAGATTCCCCATCCCCACTCAACCCGCTTCTCTCGTGGTCCTCGGCGGCGATGCTGCAGCAAGCGATGGCGCGGCGATGGGGAGGAGGCTTGTGCTCTCGGCTCCTTGCTTCCCCCATCTCAATCCTTTCACCCTCCACTAGTCTGCTCTCTCCCCTCTCCTCTCCGCCGTCCTCCTCGCTGCACTCATCCCCCAACGCTGCCTCATCATCAGTACATGGAAAGGCGGCACAAGTTCCATCGTCGTTTGTGCGCCAGGCCATGGCTAGCCTGCGATCCACACCAATGAAAGGTCTGTGCTGTGTAGTACTTCATTCGATGTCTCATGGTCTGCTCACTAGCCATGCTGCCTTCTCTCCTGCCGGGCACGAGGAGAGGAGTAGCAGGCTTTACTGCTGATGGCAGGATCGTGGGGAACATGCAGGAGGCCTGGTAGCAAGAATCGCAGCGCTCTTGGTGTCTGTCCTGATGGAATGATCGTACAGGGAGAAACGAGAAGTTGAGAGGATCGTCAGTACTCGCAACCCCAAGAACTATGACAACTTCGAAGTTGGGGACTTTGTTGTTGTCAGAGTCATCAACCCGTTGCAGCCTTCCAAGTACATGACGTTTGGAGGTGCAGCATGAGAGATACTCTTTTTGTTAGCAACCTGAGGTTCATGGAACAGGCATCTGCCTCGCGAAGAGGAACGGCCTGCTGTCTGCTTCCTTCACCCTCCGCAACATCGTCGCGGGCGTCGGTGTGTGATTTCAATGCTCGTGCTCCCAGATCTCTTTCTGACAAGCGCGAAGGTGTTGAGCGACAGTTCAAGCTCTACGCTCCCAACATCATGGTAGTTGTTGTTGATCTGCTCGTGTCCTCATGAGCAAGCGGCCGCAGGGCATCCGCAGGATAGGCAGGACGTCCTTGAAGGTGAGGCGCTCCAAGATCTACTACGTCCGCAACCTTCCTTCTAGGTACGCGTTTCTTCCCTCCTGCTCCTCCTGCTCCTCCTCTCCTTCACTCGCTCTCCTTCTCTCCCTCTCCTTTACTCGCCCTCCTCCAGGTACTCCACCATCAACTTCTCCGAGAAGGCTGTCAACCTCCCTCAAGGCCCTGCTGCAGCTTCTTGAGAAAGCGAGCGAATTTTGCATGCAATGTTGGAAGCAGCTCAGCTACTCGGAGTGCCATGCACAATGACGATTCAAGTCCAACAAGCTATAAAATAAACATTCCGTCCTTCCCTCTATCACAACTACACATGACCATCCCTGGGCTCCTCAGTGTGCCGCGCGCTTCTTGGGCTGTGACGCACGTCAATGAGATCCGGAGTCAAGGGAGCTCCTACCTCTATCCTCGTCAGCTGTTTCCGAGCATCTAGCCCAGCATCAAACCCGGCACGGTAAGCCTGTCAGGGGGGGGTCAGACCAGCTCGGGATAACTGAATAACACTGAACCTCGAGATTCTTCCTGGTGACCTCGGGGCTGAACTTCTGGTACATCTTTGATTCCATCAGCCACGGAGCGAGGAGGGGCTGGGCAATACCTCTGACATCCTCGGTCTTGACGCGAGCTCTGTCACTTTTCCTATCTGCTTCTTCGCACCATCGCTCGACCCGCCGCCATCCCCGCCGCCTCCCTTGCCCCCGTCCATGGGAGGTGCAGAGAAGGTGAACAGAGGGGAGACAACCTGACCGAACAGCATGAGCGAGAGTGCAGAGAGATCTGAGACGTTCACACAACACCTGCTCGCTGTCATACTGCGGCTGACCAGCAAACTTGACAGGTCCCGAGGGATTGCCGACTGCAGCATCCTCGTCATGCGGATGGACAGTAGGGCGTGCAAGGATGAGAGGAGCGAACCTGACAGTAGTCGCGCATAACAATATCTCATCTCGGCCTCAGTCACGAAGTTTGTTGTGCAGAACTGGAAAAGAAGCGCGCGCTGTTTGCGAGGGCTCAATGGTAATCTTATCCATGGCCATCCTGTCAGTCTGCATCATCACAAGGGGTCAAGACGTTACCCGTTAGGCGCCAACCACATGTGGTACATGCTTGCAACATCCTGCCAGACCGTCAGCACGGCCAAGGAGGAGGGAATCGCTGCAAAGACCGGTGCCTGCGATGCCCGCGCGTTGCCTCTGAGCAGAACGACGCAGCTAACTACAACGATCATCCCCGTGACTACCGAGATGGTCAGGTTCCTCCTCGTCGACGCATTCTGCAGGTGCAAGTTTGTGTCAGGCCATGGACCGATGGCTCGGGGGGTTCGCATCACTGACCGGGCGACGATCGACGTAGAGTGTTTCCATGGTGAGACGTCGGAGGAAACCCCTGCGAAGAGCTCACTACAACTTGCAGCACTTCTCTCTCCCCATGCAGGATGAAACATGTCGCCTGATAGCTCACATTTGCTCATCCACCTCTTCTTGTGATCTTGCTATCTACGAACTGACCTGCAGTGCAAAGGAACTCGTTTCATCTGCTCTCTTTCTTTCTCTCCCCTCCCCTTCTCCATGTCGCTCGGCACCCATAGATTCCAGAAATAGAAACTTCAAACTTTAAACTTTGAAGACTCCGAGCTCAAACTTTCAGTCAAACTCCAAAAGTTTCCCTACAATGCGAGCGGGGAGGTGGCATTTCGATGGGATGGTGGAATGCTTGGAAGGGAAGGAGGAGGAGGAGAGGAGGAGAGGAGGAGAGGAGGAGAGGAGGAGAGGAGGAGAGGAGGACAGGAGATGGAAGGAAGGATTGAACGAAGTATGAAGATAACAGCTACAGGGAATGAAGGGGATCAGGGGATCAAAGGAAAGGAAGAGGCAGTGTCAGAGTGCGAGGAGGAGGTGCGAGGAGGAGGTGGAGTGTTGTTGTGAAGTGGGGGGAGGGGTAGCTGCTGGGAGCAGCGGAAGGGCAGAGAGAAAGCAGGGAAGAGAGGAGCAAGGAAGGTAGGAGAGGAGGGAGGGAGATCCCAAATGAAAGGCAGCAAGAATCAAAGTGTGCTATACGTCCTTCACGCGTCATGTGAGGGGGCAGAGATCAAGGGAGGATGAATGAATGAAGAGAATGATTGTTGGGTAGAGGAGCAGGCATCGGTCGGTACGAGATGGCATCGCATGTTCCTCGACCCCCTCAGTCTGTTCCTCCACATGCCCCACATGCTCCGGTAAGCTCAGAACGTCCTCTTGCTCCTCCTTTGCTCACACCTTCTCCTACAGCCTCCTGTTCGCAGCCAAACTTCGCTCCCTACCGAAGCTGCTCCTCGTCCGCCGAGGTCTGCCTCCTCCGCATTGTTCAGCTGTTCCTGACATGCTGGCAGCGCACCGGGAGCAGAAACTTCGAGGTCCTCCCACCCTCCTGGTCGTCGAACTTAGTGACAGGTAGCGCAGGCTTGAAGCTTTGGCGTTCAAAGTCATGCGACTTAATCGCCCTTCCTTCCACCAGGTCCCATCCTCCTTCATCCTCCCCTTCTCCCTCCCCCATCCTCCTCTCCTTTCTCCTCCTCCTCTTCTCTTGTACCTCAACGACCTCCTCTTCTTGACCTGGTCGCGATCACTTCCTGCTCCCTCTCTCCTCCTGGTCATCAACCCTCTGCCCATTTCCCTTGTCCTGGTCTTCTCTCCTCCTCCTCCTCCTCCTCCTCCTCCTCCTCCTCCTCCTCCTCCTCCTCCTCCTCCTCCTCCTCCTCCTCCTCCTCTCCTGCTCGCTGTATCTGATTGTATATCAGGCTGGTTTCACCGCCGGGCTGCAAGCGCTCAGGGAGACTGCGAGCGATCAAGCAGAGCAGGCGACCGGTCACCTTCCTCATTCCGATGCAGAAGGATGTCCCAGCGAGAACCTCCTCCTCCCCACTGTAAGCCTCCCGTCTCCGCCCTCCCCCTTCCCCGTCCTCCGTTCCCTCTGCCCGTGCTTGAGTCTCGCTACACCCTCCTCCTTCCAGCACCTCCTCCTCCTCTCCTCCTCATCATCATCGTGTCTACCAGCTCGTCCCTTCACTTTCGCTCTTGCAGGGCTTCGGCAACATCTACTTAGGAGAAACCTTCACTGCTTACATCAGCGCTTGGTGACCGTTCTACCTCCTCCTTCCTCCTTCCTCCTTCCGTTCCTCCCTCCTCCCTCCTCCCCGTCCGCCCCTCCTCCTCCTGTTTTCCATTTCTCTTATCTCCTCGCTGCTCCCTCACTTCTCCTCCTCCTGCTTGCCAACCTTCCCTCCCACACCTTCTGTGACTGTCGCTACAAACGTCTGCTGAGTTCTGAATGTTGGGAGCAGCAACACAAGTGGTAGCCGGCTGATGCGGCTAGAGATCAGGTATGTCACTCTCCTCCTCCCCCTCCTCATCCTCATCCTCGTTCTTCTCCTCCTCCTCCTCCTCCTCATTCCCTCTACCGCCTGACCCCTCCGTAACTTCCTCCTCCGCCCCTTCCTCATCACCTTTCTCCTCCTCCCTCACTCTCCTCCCTCGCAGGGCAGAAATCCAGACGGGCACCAAGCGCGTCCCGCTGCTGGACGGCAAGCCGGTGCTGCCGCATGCAAGGATGCGCCGCGGGAGCTGATGGGGGGGAGCAGGAGACTGTGCTGGCGCAGTTCGAGTCCAACCAGCAAGTTGACTACATCGTGTCCCACGAGCTGAAGGAAGCAGGTGAAGGGAGGGGGGGAGGAGGAGGAGGAGGAGGAGGAGGAGGAGGAGGAGGAGGAGGTTGAAAGGACTGGTGAAGTTGTGATAGGTGTGCACATAATGATTTGCTCGGGAAGCTACCTGGATGCTTCAGGGGAGGAGAAGAAGGTAAGGGGGAGGGGTCCTGCCTCCTTATCCTCGACTTCTCATATCCTTTCTCTCGTCAGGTCCGACAATACTTCAAGTTCCAGGTTCCACTCTCTTCCTCCTCCACCTCCTCCTTATCCTCATGCTCCTCCTCCTCCTCTTCATCCTCCTCCTTCTCCTCTCCTGCCTCCTCCGCCCT